ATATATATATATATATATTGTTACAGAAATTTGCTAAAGTTATATGAAATATACACTTGTTAGATTGAGTCCAAACAGACCATTGAATAAAGCTTTCATTAAAAAAATTGTTAGAATCTTTCACACTGTTAGTTCATTATAATTTCTACCATTTCAAGAACAACTCTATATTCGAGACATAAGCTAAAGAAACACCAATCTCCTTGCTTAGTATATAGTCTCTAAAATTTTGATTTTCTACTATATTTGTTTTTTTTAATCTGTTGTATCTTTAAAATACATTCAAAAACACTAATTTTAATATTTTAAAATATATTAAAAAAATCTAATACACTAATATCAGTATATTTTTAATTATCAGCAGAGAAAAATATAAAAAAAAATCTGGATTGTCTCTCTCTTTAAACATGACCTTGTTTTTTCCAATTTCCACCACCCAAAAAATATATATATTTGCAGGATTTTTCTTATTTGATTTGGAATTCCTTATTTGCAGGAAACGTGAAGAAATGGAGAATACGGAATCAAGTGTTGGAAATGAGCAGAAAATGAATAACGGTCTGATACATGATATTCTTGTAAAAATCTTTTTATGCCTCAACGTCGTGGATGTTGCAGTTGCCTCCCTAGTTTGCAAATCTTGGAATAATGCTTGTCGTGACCCATCTCTCTGGAACAAGATTGATCTCTCAAGACTCCGTTCTTACTGCTTCAACATACCATTCAATAAAGTTGGAGCTTACAGATACTCAAGTTTGAAGATGACTCAATTCTTGAAACATCTTCTTGATCTGAGTAATGGAAATACCACCTACATTATATTCAATTTTTATGTTTACTTAACCAATGAACAGTTCATCATGGTGGCACAAAGGTAAAGTTTCCCTCAAAAATCTTGAAAAAAACCATTCTACTAATGCTTGGTAATCTTGGAAAATATCCATTCTTCTTTTACAACTATGAGTTTAATGCTATATTTGATAAAAAAATCATTTTGAATTTGGAAATCTATTTGGTATTACATGGTGTATGCATGTTTTTGTTTCGTAGGACCCCAAACCTGAAACGAGTTGTTCTACCAGAGACGGGTGATTTCTCAAAAGCAGGATTGGATACCGTACTGAGCTTATGGAGAGGTCTTGAATCAATTACCATTACTTCCGCTGTGTCGAGTTATTACATGATCCTAGCTCTTGGAAGACACTGCAACAACATCACTGAGATGAAATTTTCTGAGGGCAACTTTGAAGAAAAGCATGCTGTGGCCTTGACTAAATACACCCCGAAGTTGAAGATATTGAGCATTCGGAATTTACCAACGAGCTTGAAGGCATTGTTGTGTGTGCTGAATTTCTTGAAAGATTTGGAAAAGTTGAACATATGCAACTGTTTGATTATGGACACATCATATCCTCACATAGCATTTGTAGAGGATAGTGATCTAGAGAACATTTTGCCCTCATCGAGTATGGAAAAGCTTATATACTGTGAAAGAGGAACGTGCTTGAGGTGCATGAATGGTAGAGACACTACTCGAAGCAGACAACCAGATGGACCCCTTGAAGATATATGGGGAGAGGATGAGATAGCATCTCTTGTGCATTTGCCTCAACCTTCTGAGGCTGAAAGGTTTGCTACCAGACATGTGAGAGTGCTACCGTTCATGAAAAGAATGATGTACAACTCAAATTATTGATGAAGAGTAGCTACATCATCATAGTTAATTATCTAAGTTACTAGTAAACAAAGACATTTTTCTATATTTAAGTGTTTTTGCATTGCATGTGTGGACATATTTCAGTGTTTTCGATCTTGCTTGTTTGAACAATATTTACTTATGTCATAATTCTAATATTCGTGGGATTTTACTTGTCTAGATTTTGATTTAGTACTTTCATGTTGATCTTAAATTGTTTTGTATCTTTTTTTATGTCATCGTCTTTAAGCTCAAAATAGGATCTTATACCAAAAAAAGAATATGATTCGGGTACTTAACTTTATCTAGAGTTCATAAAATAAAATTACATCAAGCGTTAAACTTTTGTGGATGTCTAAACTCAAGTTTTAAACATGTTTTAAATGTTGAAACAGTCAATTTTTAAGATTAACTTTTAGGATTAGTTCATATTTTATGTCATTCTTATATTAAAGACTGAGTTTTTTTTTTAAAAAAAATTGAAATAGTCTAAGTTGATTTTCATATAATACATATGATTTAATTCTTATAATTTTTTGTACAAATTATCTTTGAAAATTTAGAGATTGAAGGATAAAGAAAATGAAATGGGTGAAAAACGAAAATCAAGAAAGAAGGTCAAACGTCAACTCACATTTAAGAATCAATAAATTTTTCTTATCACAGTTCTGAAAAAATTTAGATGTAAATTTGGACAATTAACTTATTTAAATATATAATCAATTAAACTAGTTAATAAGAATGTAATAAAAATCAACCAAACTAGTTATATAAATGAAATCAAAATATCAATCGGGTAATAATAAATGACAACTTAATAAAAAGGAGAATTGAAGTAAACAATGCAGTGCGGGACTGAGAAAGAAAATGCAAATCACTTATCTTTTGTTGTTGTAAAAAGTAATGAATGGAACATGTGCTAAAAATGGGTGGGCACATAAATTCGGTAATTCATAACCAACCAAAATGGAATTACCAACAATTTAGTTTATTAGAAGTAAGTGACAAAGGTAACAAGACTTGCAAGTGTATATAGATAACTATAATTTTGAACATATGGAAGCATAGAAGGATGATCTTTAACAAATGAAAGATAGATGCTCGAGAGATTTTTAGTATGACAACTAAAAGTTTGAACATGGTTATGAAAGAGGTTTCCAAAGTCATCATTTACATATTCGGATTGGTGTATTTATCTAATCAATTGCATATGGTCTCAATCTATTTAAAAAAGAGCTTTCAAATACATGTATTGAAAGATGATGCGTAGCTAGTCAAAATCTATTCGCACAAGCATCCACTATCATAAAGCTTGTTTCATAGCAGTGCATACAAATGCTTATCAAAGTCGGTAACACAGGTAAAGTGTGTCTCTACAACACATAAGCCTACTTAAGTTGGTAGCACAAGTTAAAATTTGTCCAATAGCACATGAGCCTACGTATGTTGGTAACCCGAGTTAAAGCACGCCTTGGTAACATATAAACTTACTAAGTTGGTAGCTCGAGTTAAAGATTGTTCTTATAGCACAAGAGCCTACCTAAGTCGATAATATGACTTAAAGCCTGTTCCGACAATACATCAACCTACCTAAGTTGGCAGCACGATTTAAAGCCTGCCTCGACAACACATGATCAGTACCTAAGACAGTAGCACGAGCTAAAGTATGCTTTGACAGCACATACAAAGTCTATCTAAGACGACAACACATATAAAGTTTTTCGAAGAAGGCAACACATGCAAAGCAGCACAAAACTTGCCTAAGTTCAAAATGTTTAAGAAAAAACCTATGTCAATAAGCCGACTACATCATAGTCAAAGATGACCACCTATAGCTATAATAACTTAATCCACCTACAAGCATAAGATGACTACAACTCGGCTAAAAGGTTAACTATAGTTTAGCAATACACATTAGATAAGTAATTCATATATTGATTAGATGAGTCTAACAATATATATTGAACAAGCTTTTTCATACACGTATTAGATGGGTCTATTAATACACATTAAACCAGTATGTTTATTCATTAATTAGATGAATTTTTCAATACATTAGACGAGTCTGTTCATATATTAATTAAACAAGTTTAGCACACATTAGGTGATTCTATCCATGCACTAATTAGACAAGTACTTTGTGCATAAAACATAAAATAAGTCATTTTATGCATTAATTAGACGAGTTTAAACATTAGGTAAGTCTGACTAAGAGTCTTGCAACACACTTTACATGTGTTTGTCCATACACTGGTTAAATGCGTCTAGCAATAAACAGACAAATATATTTATATACATTTTATACAAGTTTATTAATACACACTAAAAAAAGTTTATTCATTTTTTATTAGAGATGTTTTTCAATACACATTAGACGAGTCTGTTCATATACATTAGTGTGTCTATATACTGATTAAACAAGTTTAACATTAGATATTAGACAAATATATATCGATGCATTGATTATACGAGTCTATCAATACACATTATATTAATATGTTCATAGTATTTATAACATATAACTCAACATATTTTTGTATAGTTTAATTTTTTTATATATTTAGAGAGTTTACTCTAAATTTTTTTAAATGGTATATGCTTTGTAATTTTATAAAATTTACTCTTTATATATATATATATATATATATATATATTAAATTTATGAATAATTTTTATACTAATTTTATTCAAAATTTAGTTGTAAACTTCAATTTTTTTTTCAATCTCTAAATATCTTTTAATATAATAGATATCTAAATATCTTTTAACATTACATGACTAGTAAAAAAACAAGATTTTAACTCGCGCAATTGACATCGGTTAAGTTGTAACTGAAGCAAAAAATGGCGCGGTGGCATTTTTGTACTTATCACAAATGAATATGCTTCGGTTAAAAAAGAACCGATGCCTAAAACTGGTGCGGTGACATTTTTGTAATTATCGCGCAAAGTATATGCCTCGGTTCAAAAAGAACCGATGCCTAAAATTGGTGCGGTGACATTTTTGTAATTATTGCGCAAAGGTATATGCCTCGGTTCAAGAAGAACCGATGCCTAAAACTGGTGCGGTGGCATTTTTGTAATTATCGCGCAAAGGTATATGCCTCCGTTCAAAAAGAACCGATGCCTAAAACTGGTGCTGTGACATTTTTGTAATTATCGCGCAAAGGTATATGCCTCGGTTCAAAAGGAACCGATGCCTAAAACTGGCGCGGCGACATTTTTGTAATTATTTTTTATTTTTTTAAGAACGTTTAGGCATCGGTTCTTTATAGAACCGAGGCCGTAGACCCTTATTGTCTCGGTTAAAAAAATAACCGAGGTAATAACATGTGTTTAGGGTTAAATTTCACAAACAGAGATAGAAGTAGCGCCGCTCCTCTCTTTTCTCCCATTTTCGTTTGCGAGGGGGACGCTTCCTTCCTCTTCTCTGTTCTGATGGAGGCGCGACGAAGGGATCTTCAATGGTGTGATTTAGGCGCTTCGAAGATGCGGCGGGGGCGCAAGGGCGGTCATTCTCGTTCTTCTTCTTCTCTTTGTTCTGATTCGCAGCGAAGGAGGAAACTTCCTTCCGTCTCCTTTTTCTGATTTTGTTTGGGTTGTTTTATGTTTAATTGATGCTATGCAGGAGTGGTGGAGTTTGATTCTCTGCAGGTGGTGGTGGGAGCGCGTCGTTCTCGTTATTTGTTCTTCGTAGTGGAAGCTTTGATGATGGTGGTGTGAGATGGAGTGGTAGGCATTGATGGATTGTGGCCAAGGGCTAACAACTCATATGGCGAATGGTGAAAACGAAAAAAAAAAACCTCTACTGCCTCGGTTGGATTTGAACCGAGGCAAAATCACACACCTTTTTGCTTCGGTTCAGAACCGAGGCAAAAAGCCTACCCTTTTTGTCTCGCCTGTATATGCCTAAGTTGCAGAACCGCTGCATATAAGCGAAAATAACCGCTGTCGTTTTCCTTTTAGTATACTAGTGCATATATTTATTAATATAAAAAATAGACAAGAAACATCAATACGTGGGTATCTAAGGATTTAAAACTAATTTCCTATTGCAATTAGTCTTTAGTGAGCCATCATTATTATGTTACACTTAGACATTAAAGTCGAGCATCAATTTTCTTTTCTGGGTCTTTCATTATTAATGATACATTATCTTAGTATACTTGGTCAGCCACTAAAGTTGCAGTGTAACACATGCAATTATTTATTCGTACATAGTGATTTCTCTCTGCGCCTTTATGAAAAATTTAAAATATTCATGTTTCACTCCAACGTTTAGATCCGGCTCTACCTAAATTTTTCTGGTTTACCCCAACATTTCCTACTTGTCCAACTGTTGCTGAGTAGTTTTTGGATATCAAACAGACCTCCCCAGAAGGTAATTTTAATGTGGCCGATTTCCCCTCTTTTGCAATTAGTTTCGTTACAACACCAGCTGCTCTAGCTAATTGTCCACCCTTTCCGAGTGTGATTTCTATGTTATGTATGGTCTGTTAGCAAAAATCAAAGATGAAGTTTTGATGATGAACAGACTTGCACAAGTCAAGATCCATAAAGACAAATTGAAGATCTCTGTATTTTATAAAGCTTTTATAATAATCAAAGTTGATCTAATAGTGCTCAAATATGTATTAGGGTTGATTCTTGTAATTTATATTTGATTTATTTAGTTAATCGATTATTCCTGAGAATAATCAATTAACACTAGCCGTTGGGGGTTTCAGATTTGAAAAA